TTTTTTTTTTTTTTTTTTTTCAAAGCACAAGCTGGGCACCAGCTGTCAGTGGAAGCTTAGCTGTGACTCCGTAGCAGGAGTCAGTATTTAAAACATGTCCAGTAATGGCTACCATCAATACAGGCAGCTGATGCTTAGGTGCGGGTGACTGAAGAGCACTGGAACTCATCCTTGCAGAAATACGATATTTATTAGCCCAGGCAGACAATGAAAAATAAAAGCAATTTTATTTGCCTCTCTAAACCCCTTGCCTCAGGTAAATGGGGGAATGTAAGGTTTCTAATCATGTAGCACTAGGGTGCAGAGGCCTGGTCAGCATCAGAAACCCACTGGGGTGAGGTCCCTGCCTTCTCTTTCAGGGCCTCTATCCTGCAACTAGCTTCAGTTGGGAAATCCTGCCGTGCAACTCAGTTGACCAGTCAAACCCAGCTAGGCAAAGAAACCTCTCAAACGGAGCAGTGATCAATTATAGCTGTTCCCAGTGGAACTGAGGGTTGCTCCATAAGAAGGAATCCCACGCATTAAGGCTCCCTTCCACGTGCAGCTTCAGTGAAGCTTTTCACTTGGGAAGAACTCATAGCCAGGGGTTGCTAGTGGGACTATATTGCTACAGAACTGATCAAAATGTCTTCCCCAAAAATCCACCTCCCTCTTGAATTCTACTCCTGTTTTGGGGGAAGGGGATAGGAGTGGAATTAACCAGACACTTTCTTGAAAATAATTCCTAAATGCCAATCCAGATTTCATTAGTGTCAGGGAGGGAATGAAATATGTGGTACATAGGGTACCTGGCCATGATGAGCTGGAACTGCATTTAAACAAGAGACAGAGCTCTTCTGTGATTCTTTTTTTGTAGGCATGAGAGAGAGTAGCAGCCACACAGGGGATGCACTGTGTCTTTCCAGTCCATGAGGAGGAAATGGGGAAATGAAAGTATGTCTCCTAGCCCCTGTGAGAGCTTCCTCTTTCCAAATTGAGCATTGCATGGCTTTCATTAATGCCTGCATTTGGCACGAGTCAAAATACGATCCTTGCCTGGCCGCTGGCTGGAATGAAGACCACAGGCAGAAAAAAGGAGCGTGCCAACCCAAAGCAGACTGACTTCAAAGAGTTCTTGAGCTAGCTACATTGCCTCCTATGGGCTTAACAAAGGCAAACACATTCCTTGCACCATACACCGTGAAAGAATTCATGCTGTGGCTCTCCTCACCATGGTATTACAGCAGTTTGACTGACTTTGCAGTGTGAGTACTTTCACACTCACTGTGGGCTAACTCGAGAAGTGCCTGGGTCATGGGAGAGAATCTGCAGTGGAGACTTGCCCAGTAAGGTTGCCTGTTACATGGGCTTGGTGCTGTGAGCAGGATTTCATCTTTGTGGGTGGCCTATTCTTATATTTCTGCCTCTTTTCTTCTTTATTTTGTTTCTGTTAGAGTTCAATCTTGCAGGTTATCAGAAAGCTTCCATAGCTTTCAAAACTGTAGCACTACAGGCCTGGCATCTACAACTAAAACCCCCATGCTAACCCATCCTTGTTTAACTAGGAAGAGCAGGAAGGACTTATTTCACTGTTTTTCTATTGTTTTGCATTTTGCTCAGGTTGGACACTGAGCTAAGGAAGATTTGCTCTTTGGTTTCTAGGCAATAGCATAATGATGCTGTTTAGGTTCACAACGTGGCAGGGACTATTTAAAATGCAAAAAAAAGCAGACAGCTTGCATTACATATTCTCTTTACTTTCTTCTTTTCCCCAACAGCAAAGCAAGAGGCATGAACTAAACAGGAGGGGAGGGAGAGGTGATTTTTCAGGCAACATTTTGTAGTGCAGTGCAGAAAAATTGCTCAAGTGCAGTTACTACTAGAGATCAGGACTAGTTTGATGACTGTGCGCTAGGCAGGGATGTGTTCTTATCTGTTCCATTTTCTCCATTTCCTGTCAGCAGGCTGTACACAGTTGGTTGTTTGAATCCGATAGCTTCCAGTGATATTTGCTCTTCTAACTTCACTTTTACCTTTCCCAGAAACTACTGCTTACCGCACCCCGCTCTATGGTCAGCCGTCCTGGTGGGGAGAGGACGACGCAAACAACAAGCTAGAGAGACAGGAGGACAGAAGGCAGGAGGAACATTACTTGGGTAAGCAGAGATGCCCTGTTGAGAAGAAAACTCAACAAACGCAAAATGGGCAACACCAAAAGGCCTGCTGGATTTTTTTATAATCAGTTAGTACAAGGGTGTCCACACTTCCTAACCCCATGCAAGCCAGATACCAACATCTTCCTATGGCTAAAAGCTAGCTGTTACACATGACTTACGACTTTATATGCATGTCGTCTAGACCCAATGCTCCAATTTTTTTAAAGAGTCCCATCCTACTTCACCATCACGCCACTAGTTGCTGCTAGACATCTTATAGACATAGACATTAGGGCTGGAAGGGGCCTTGAAGATCATCAAGTCCAGCCCCGTGTCCCAGGAGCAGGAAGTCTGCTAGGGTCAAAGGATCCCAGCAAGATAAGCATCCAAATGTTTCTTGAATGAGTCCAGAGTAGGTGCATGCACCACTTCTGGAGGGAGTCTATTCCAGGCCTTGGGGACTCGGACAGTAAAGAAGTTTTTCCTTATGTCCAGCCTAAAACGATCATGGAGGAGTTGATGACCATTGGTCCTTGTTATCCCTTGGGGCGCTCTGGTGAACAGATGTTCCCCCAGATCCTGATGCATACCCTTTACGTGCTTATAGGCAGCCACCAGGTAACCCCTGAGCCTGTGCTTTTCCAGGCTGAAGAGTCCCATGGCTCTCAGCTTCTCATCATAACGCCTGTTCTCTTGCCCTCTGATCATGTACGTGGCTCTCCTCTAGACTCTGTCAAGTTTCTTGACATCCTTCTTGAATTGTGGAGCCCAGAATTGGATGCAGTACTCCAGCTGCCGCCTCACCAAGGCCGAGTACAGTGGGAGGATGACATCCTGAGATTTACTTGAAAAGCATCTATGGATGCAAGACAGTTTTGTTTGCTTTACCAGCTGTGACATCGCATTGGTGGCTTATGTTCATCTTGTGGTTAATCATGACCCCCAAGTCTCTTTCAGACATGGTGATAGCGAGCATAGCACAGCCAAGCCTATAAGCATGCTGCAGCAGGTTTTTTTCCCCCAAGGTGTAGTACCTTGCATTTTTCGATATTGAACATCATCAGGTTTATATCCGCCCACTTACTAAGCTTATCCAAGTCAGCCTGGATCACTAGCCTATCCTCAGGTGTGGAGGCTATGCCCCAAAGTTTAGTGTCGTGGGCAAACTTGGACAGTCCGCTTCTGACCCAATGTCCACATTGTTGATAAAGATGTTAAAGAGAATCGGTCCAAGGACAGAGTCTTGGGGGACATCACTGGTCACGGGACTCCATAATGATTTGCATCCATCGACTACTACTCTCTAGGTCCAACCTCGGAGCCAAATTCCCAGCCATCGGACTGCGATGTAGCCAAGGCCACCGTCTGCCAGTTTTTCCATGATGAGATCATGGGACACCAGATCAAAGGCTTTTTTAAAGTCCAGATATATGATGTCAATCTCTTCTCCCTTGTCTAGGTGATATGTCACCTGGTTATAGACGGAGATGAGATTGGTTAGTCAAGACCTACCCACAACAAACCCGTGCTGGCTGTCCCTCAGGATGTTGCCATCCGCCATCTTATCAAGAAGGGTCTCTTTGATAATTTTCTCCAGAATTTTACCGGGGATTGAGGTCAAGCTGACTGGCCTGTAATTCCCAGGATCTACTTTCCACCCTTTTTTGAAGATGGGTACCACATTGGCCTTCTTCCAGTCTTTGGGTACTTCACCTGAGCGCCATGAGTTTTCGAATATTTTTTCCAATGGTTGGTCTATGACACCTGCCAGCTCCTTGAGTACTCTAGGGTGTAGTCTGTCAGGACCAGC